CACAGGAACGGCCGTGATTGGAGCCTGACTGCTGGATCCGCCAACGAATTATAACACAAGAAACTACCGACACACGCTGCAACTCCTCCGCGCGCAACTGCCACCCCTGTACCTCTACCCGTGCCTCCTCTCCTCGATTCATCCGGTGTATGTGCTGGTTCGTTTTCTCCCTCACTCTCCCCTTTTTTTTTTTTCTTTTTTTGGGGGGGGGGGGCGGGGGCGATCTGCATCTATGTCCTGACTGTCCCCCCCCCCTCAGCCGTACCTCGCTCTGTCTGCCACACTCCATCAGTTTTTTGTTTTTGTTCTCTCTCTCTCTCTGTCTCCCCCTATCTTTGGTTTTGCTCCTTCATTGTTTCATCGGCGCCAGGCTTGATGGCGGAACGACGACAGCCCAACTAATAGCTGCCATACGCCGCATCCTGTCAGGAAGGGCGGCGAAGAGAAAGAGAGGAAGAAAAGCGACGGTCGACAAGAAGAAACAACTACTCAACGCGACCACCCGAACTGGTAGGAACGCTGTTGTTGCGCCCTGGCTGCCTCCACTCGCCATCTTGTCTCACGCCGCCCGGCATCACTCTGAACATAACAACCTTGTTTCAAGCAGGTCATCATAGCCAAGCAAGGTTCACGAACCCTCTGGTCCGTAATCGTCTGGGGCCAACTGGCATGCCCGAAATGAGCAAGTTTGGCTGTGTCACGGAATGCCCCTGGTCACGGAGGATGAGGATGAGGATGGAAACGGGGCTGAAATGGTTCTACTAATATTGGAAGGGGGGCGTGGTTGAGGACGAGGGCGTGGTCGGGGACCCTAGCGCTGCGGGGAATCCCGTCGGAGCCGCAGGCGGCGGGCACCTCGGACGCCCCTTTCACGCCGCTAGGAGCTCCCCCTTCCCCAGACTTTCCCAACACGCCCTCCCCTGAGCGCAGCCCGTGTCCCAGCACAGAGGAGGTCCCTGTAAAGGAAGTCCGTGCAGCGCGCGACAACACGGGGGACCTGACACCGTCTCGAGAATGGCGCAGCAGGTGGGGACATCTTTTCTGCAGCCAAGAAGGGCAAACCTGAAAAGCGTAGGGGTGTTACTCTGGGCAACTACCACTGCAAGACAGACGGCTCACGCACGGAAGGCGTAGTCGTTTTCGAGGGGGGGGCGTAAGCGGAAGACTTCATTAGCTGCTCACCTGAAGAGCGTGCCGTCCTGAGGTGAGCGTGCAACATTGCAGTGAAGAACTGGGGTGATTGCAGGGGCCCACGGAGGGAGGCGGGGCAGGGTGTGATGGAGGTTGGTGAGCAGCGGATGTCGCCAGGGAAAGCGAATTGAGCATCCCTGGAGGCTTAAACAAAGTGGCTATGATACCAACAAGTTGATCGTGGGGTTCGGTTGTCGTCAATTCGGTTAAGTTCGCCTGGAGGGTGGGTTGATTTTTACATGTGCCTGAAATAAAAGGTAGGAGGGGTCGGGGTGAAGCCGGCGGCCGAGGGGAAGGATATCAGGAGATATGGCAGGCAGAAGTGGGAGAGGGGGGTTGAGCAGGGACAAGGGATGTGATGAGACGCGGAAGGGGGAAGACGTTTACGAACAAATCCTCAATGCGCTGTTCAACATCGCGCTCTCAGCGCCATCGGTCGGAACCTCACCAACAATTGCACCTGCATGGCACGGCACAACACAGTTTCGAATTCTGGAAACCGAACAGGGCACGCCACCCTTTTCGCATTCGGACAATCAGGCACTGCACGGAACGGAGCGGCAACTTTGTTGACTCTGGAGACGAGGCACGACACAGCAAGGCGGCTTGTCAGCATTCTGAGAACCAGACGGGCAGGGCAATCATTTCGTACTCTCGTCATCCCAAGATCCCTGAAACTGGGCACGGTGCGGCACACTCTTCTCATTCTGACAGCCAAGCACGACACGATACCTTTTCACATTTCAGAAACTCTGCGCAGCACAACAGCACTCTGTATTCTCAGTATACGACCAGCCCAAGAACTGGGCGCGACACAACACAACACAAGAGCACCGCCGGGCACGCGGGCGGCAACTTTTTCCTGAGCATTTTCTTCTGGGTGGAGGGCTCAGGGTGAAATCCATATGGGCTTTTGCACCTCGAAAGTCAATCCGTCCTGTGGTTCACCTTTTGCACGCCTCGAGAACACATCGAAACGGCATTTCAGATTTCACCCTTTGCCTTCCACCCCAACAGAAAAGATGGGTACAGTCGGACTTGATTGGACAAGACACGCGAGAGGACACAAGATCCTTCCGGGGGCCACATTGCCACAGGAATGTAGGAAGCATGGGTCGCGAGACCCAGGACACGAGGGTACCTTTGACTTGGCAGGGTCAACCCACTAATCCAGGCCGACTGTACTTCCTCGCGCTCCAGACACCGGGTGCGCCACGGCACGGCACGCGGCCGGCACCTCTCTCCTCGCGCTCCCGAAACCGGGCGCGGCACGGCACGGCACGGCACGGCACGGCACGGCACGGCACGCGGGCACGCGGGCACGCCGCGCGGGCACGGCGCCGCCTCCGCAGCCCACGGGCCACGGCACGCCGCGGCACGGCACGCGGGCAGGGCGCGGCACGCGGGCAGCAACTCCGTCGCGACCTCCAGGGAGCCGCGAGCGCAACGCGGCGCGGGCGCGGCCCGCGGGCGCGCCACGCCGCGGCGCGCCTGCACGGCACGGCACGCGGGCGGCACGCTGGGAACTAGGTGCGCCACGGCACGGCGTGCGGGCGTAGCACGGCGCGGCATGCGGGCGGAAGCTGTTCCGCACACCGGAAGCTAGAACCCCCAGTCTCGGAGCAATGGAGCCCCCTTACACTGTTCGCCGTTTGGGAAGCGATCAACCAGCACGGTTGTGCCTCGTTCTCCTGTAGTCTCCGCGCGCACCAAGAACGTACTGCAGAGGTTGGGCGGTATGGGTCAGGCAGGACGGGCGCGAGTGCAAGCCAACGTGCAAAGGAGTGGCAAGATGCCGTCCGCAACATGGTGCATGTCCTCGACTTCGACATAGCTGCATGGCCTCTCCGCGCGCAGGATCAACATCAAAAGTACTTATCTGGTATGAACCATAGAAAGCGTGCTACATGTCATGCCAGTGCACCGGCCTTGTCAGAGCCCACCAACCTTCTGTCAATTGGGGCCGCCGCTGGTCGTGAATCGTGCCCATGTGGCGTCAAATTTCACAGAAGCACCCCACTCGTTTTACTTGGCAGTGGCGAAAAAAGCAAGGGAACAAGGCGTAAGGAGTGGTCAAGGTAACAAGCTGGTGGATGGTTCGCCACTTCTTCAACAAGACCACCTACTTATTAAATTGTGCCAGCCTGTTTGTGCCCGATTCCCCAAGAGCGCTCCAAGAGGGGTCCAAGAGGCAGTTGTAGGGGCTCCAGAGGGGCATCCAGTACCTCCCTTCTGTGATCGATCTCCTCCAAGCTGGCCCCCACGGCTCCCAAGAGTGCCACAAGAGGGCCCCAAGAGGCGCCCACTCGACCCGAAGAGGCGACCAGGCGGCTTGGGGTGGCTTGACCCCTCCCACCTCCGCCTCCCTGGGGTCTGAAGGGGAGGGGCCGCGAGATGCCAGAAATTGTTTGTTTGTGGGCCCAAGATGGCTTCACGAGGGCCTCAAGGAGCTCAAGATGACCTCCAAGTCGGCTCAAGATATGCGAACATGGCTCAAGATGGCTTCCAGCATGTTCCAAGAGGCTCGAAGACAGATCCAAGATGGCTCCAAGTGGCCATGGATATCCCCAAGAAAACTGTCAGAGAAGGCAAACATCCGCCAAACACCAATGGGAAGTCAATGTTTGTTTCTTTCTCGCCTGTTCGCTTCCGATGGCCCTCCGAGGCCTGAAGATGGCTCCAAGACGGCCCAAGAGCGCCAAGACCCCTTCCAGAATACAATCCGACAACAGAAATATAGTCAAATGGTTCGATTGGGTCTGACACATCCTCCCACCTCCCTCTTCCCTTTCGGAGCCCAAAGTTTCGAGCGAAATGCGCTGGACCACCTCGCAAGCAGCATGTCGGAGCCCAGAGTTGCGAGGACGTCTCGAGCGAAGCGCGCCAAACCACATCACGCGAAGCGTCTTGGAGTCCAGAGTTGCGAAGATGTCTGTGACGAACCGGGTCGGATCTCCTCGCGCGCGGCATCCTGGAGCTCAGAGTTGCGAGGATGCCTCAGGCGAAACGCGCCGGACCACCTCGCGCACATCATCTCATAGCCTAGGGTTGCAGAGATGTCTGCGGCGGAACGCGCCAGACCACCTCTCGCGCAGCGTCTTGGAGCCAGAGTTGCGAGGATGTCTTAAGCGAAACGGGCCAGACAATCTCGCGCGCAGCATCTCGAATTCCAGAGTTGCCAGGATGTCTCAGGCGAAACGCGCTAGACCACCTCTCGAGCCCAGAGTTGTGAGGATGTCTCAAGCGAGAAGCGGAGGACAACCTCGCGCGCGGCAGCTCGGAGCTCAGAGTTGCGAGGATGTCTCACAAGAGACGCTCCAGACCACCTTGCGCGCGAAATCCCTGGAGCCAAGAATTGCGAGGATGTCTCAATCAAAACGGGCTGGACCACCCCGCGCGCGGCAGCTCGGAGCTCAGAGTTGCGAGGATGTCTCAAGCGAAACGCGCCAGATCACTGCTCGCGCGGTATCTCGGAAACCAGAGTTACGACGGGGATGTCTAAAGCGAAACGGGCCAGACCATCTCGCGCGGCATCTCGGAGCTCAGAACTGTGAGGATATCTTAGGCGACACGCGCTGGACCCACAGCAGCGTAAATATGTCACAAGAAGGCGCTTTCTGGTGCATCACTCCTTGCAGGACTATTCGGAATAGCAACGTCCAGGCCATTCACAACTGCTGCTGCAGAACACATTCCAGCGGGGTTCCCAGGACAAGCCTCCCATGTGCACGACATGCTGGAAACATCGACGCTCACACCACCTTGAGTCTCTCCCGAGGAGTCGCGCTTCTTTGACTTTCTTCTGGCATCGGTTGGAAATGCATTGGCAAGGCTTCTCTACTCTCGTTTCACAGCGCTGGCGTCAGGGTGGCCTTTGCTTCCAGAATCGGGCGCTGTAGGCTCGATCTTCTGATGTTGGAAGTGGCTCTTGAGGGGCCACATGCGCAAGGTGGTTGCACGGCATTCGAATGCTGATGCAGAGCCCATCCCAGAATCTTTCCTCGCTGCCAACGCCTTGCCGCTCCTCCATCGAGTAAAAACTTGTGGTCGAAAGTGCCCAGAGCCCTGCGATGCAGAACCTCCCTCGGTGGTCAGGGGATCTCTCCCTGGGCCCTGTTCACGAGTTGGCGCCATCGGACCCGACAAGCAGCCATTTTTTGGACAAGCAAAAAAATACAAACAACCTGTCAAGCGTCTAACTAAGACAATTGCAACGCCGAAACGAGGACGAGGAGGAGACGAGAGCGGTATTCCTGGTACGACAGCCGCACGCAAATTCCATCTATCATTGCAACCGCCAGGCTTTCCCGCATGCGCCCCCAATTTGACAGTGGCTTCCCCAGGGCTCATCGCCACAGCGACTCCAAGAGCTCTCCTCCTCACTCATTTTGTCCGCGCCATGGCAAGCCGTGGCTAGGAGCAAGTCTTCAGGGACGGTCGAGCCCCTGCCCATCCGCGCCCTGGAGAGTCGATCGCGTCCATTGTCCGATTGTCGACTCGCGCGCCTCTGCACCCTCCTCTCCTGTCCCTAACCCTATCCTGTCGGCTAGACGCAAGAGTGACCCTGGGTAACGTCTGGGGGGCTCGAGGGGGGCAAACCCGAGCGCGCAGGCTGCTGCTATCGCATCGCGCTCCACGATCGGAGGCGGGCCCGATGCGCCCGCACCAAAGGTCACTCCAGCGACGGGTCACTCTTACGTGCAGTCGATCCTGGCGTCCTGCTCTTGCCCAGGTGGGCTACCGGGCGGCGAAAAAATGCTGCTGGACCACTCCATCAATCTCGCTGTGCAAATGGCACCTGGAAGGCACTACAGCCAGGGGCAAAACTGGATGGCAAGACTTGAAGCAACGAGACGGCATACGAGATCTCCAGAAGCGCCGGTTGTATCTCGGACGCCGGAAACGAACATATCACGTATTTGCTCCTGGCTGTAAAGCACTCGCGCCAGCTGGAGTCACCACGACTAGGGGTACAAGAGTTCGTCGCCACCCTGCGAGCCGCCGCGAAGGGGATCAGTGAGAACGATCTCAGGTTTGTGAGCATGCGCAGCCTGGCGCAGATGGAGGTGGGCGACGCGGTCAATAAAACCATGCTGGACGCTGCAAGTTCCTTGCCATGTGGGCTGCGGCTTCATCTTGGGAATGGTCGATTCGACGATGGCCCCGTCGCGCAGGCGCCACCGCACGACCGCACCAGTGTCCGTCGCCACCGTAAGGTCGCCGCCAAGAGAGAGTGCGAGCGAGATCTTGCCTTGTTGGCCGACTGAAAGCCCAAGGACAGCCCGACGGAAGCTTGGGCAGGAAGAGGGGGGGCATCCAGCTATCCTTCTGCTTTCCTTCCCTGGGGACTCCGGGACACCCCCGACGCTGAGACATCTCGTGCACGTCAGAAGTTGTATCCCCCATGTTTCGAGCCAGTGGGCCAGTCGAGGCATCAGAACCACCTCTTTGAATTCGAAGTCGAGCTCTCGAACGCCCACATTCGACGAGCCTGCCGATCATACGTTTGCTTGCTGGGGCTGGGCGAAAAGGTTTCGTAGAACTCTTCGAGGCTACCCCTGGGCTTTCGGTCGTTGACCTTGGCCCGCTGCTGTGTCTGGCCCGAAAGCCGGGACGGCTACCTCACCGACGGGCAGCCAGGACCCGTCATCCAGGTGGAAGAGCGCGACCAAGTCAGGAGCGCTCTCGTGGAGGAGCGCCTGGGGGGCACGCACGCAAGCCGCTGGGGGCGTCGATTCCCGCTGGGGAGCCCCTCGGTCCCAAGGTGGCTGGAAGCCACATCGCTTTCGCCGAACCATCCAGCGCACGTTTTGGGCCCGCTGCGGCCCAAAACCAAACGGTCAAGCCTGCTCTCTCGGCCGCTGCCCGGCCTGTCGTCGTGCAGCGCGACCGAACCAAGTAGCGGGAGCTTCCCAGTCGCCATCGGACCAATCTTCATCCGCGAAGACCCAGTTGGCATGAGAGGAACAGAGGTCCCGAGGGAAACGGATCCTGGAGCTCATGCAGCTCTTGACGGCCTCGTGGCCCAGGACGACCACGAGGCATGATCTATTTCTTTCCCTGTCACGGTCATTGCCTGGGGGGGGGCGGGTAACAACAACACCTGGGCGGGGTGGGGCACGTCTGGGCGGGAGTGCACCGCGCTCGCCATAGTTTGCACGCGGAAACCAAAATGTGTAATGGGACCCCCCCCCCCAAGTACGATCGTTACCGTCACCCAGGGGCTGGGGGTTGGGGAGAGATTTGGCTCTGGTGTCGACCGCTACGCGCCAGAGGACAAACAATAATCTCCAAGATCCTGTGAACGCCCTGAATCGAATCGAGAAGTCGGATCGGCGATCGAAATGAACCGGATCGGCAGAAATCGGCAGCCGAGTCGGGAGAAGTCGAATCGGCGGAAATCGGCGGGCCAGTAGGCCTCCATTGTGCAATCGGAATCCACATCGGAATCCGAAGCCGAATCGAATCAGAATCGGCAGCCATCGAAATCGAACCGAATCCAATCGGAGGTGTCGAGGTGAACCCTGGGACCCCTGATTGAGGGGCACCGATCAGGGGGGACTTGCATAGGAGGGGAAACATCGACCTGGAATCGAGAATACATCGCCGATAGATCTGCGACAGGCCCCCGATAGCGAACCTGCACGTTCCTGAGCGGGTTGGGGCTATCCGATCCTCTCGGCGATCAACGGGCGATTGGGGGTCGATGCGTCCCCCCCTTTGCCTATCCCTCCTGTCGTTTGCCCCTGACTCCTCTTCGTGGCGACGCCCTTTGCCTTAGGCCGGGCGTGTCCTCCTACAGGCGGATTCTGGACGAAAAACGAATACTTGTCGACAACCATCAGAAATAGTGAAACAAATCGTCCCCAGACTATTTTAGCCTAGTTTTGAACATCCCCCCTGAAGAGGGCCATGCCCGACTTACCCTCGGCGGCGGACAAGCCTCATTCGATAAACATCCCTTTAGGGCAAACTGCCTGGGACCGAAACCGACGGACCTGGACCCGCAAAAATGACGGCCGCGACGCCCTCTTGCGAATAAACGGCCAGTTCGCTAATCGACGTGTCAGGGTAAGAAATCTGTCCACCCCCGATACCCCCTGCCCTCCGGGCGCCGCGTGCAGGCGCGGCTCGCCGTCCGGGCCGCTCAGCACGGCCGCGGCGGCGGCGAAGAGCCGGGCGCCCTCCTCTGGAGCGGCCGCCCCCCCCCTAACCCCGCCTGCACGGTTTCCCCTGGGGCCGTGGGCGACCCGAGGAGGAGGAGGAGGAGGAGGAGGAGGAGGAGGAGGAGGAGGAGGAGGAGGAGGAGGAGGAGGAGGAGGAGGAGGCGGAGGAGGCGGAAGAGGAGCGCGGGCACCCAGGAGGGCGCTGGTCGCGGCTGCACTTGGACTTGCCGCTCTGCGCGGGCTTCTGCCAACACCGCCACCCAGACGGCAGAGTGTGCGGCGAGGCCCTGGACCCGAAAAGGGTGCACGCCCGCAGGTGCGCCGTGGGGGGCTGGCGCGTGCGCCGGCACGACGCCGGGTGCGCTGCCCTGGCCGAGTGGTGCGAAGAGCAGGGCTGCACCGTGCACAGAGAAGCGCTGGTGCCCCACGCGGCGCCCGCGAACCCGGAGGCCCGCATGGACCTCGTCGTCCACGCGCCTGGACTGGGTGCTCCAATCCTGGTGGACCTCACGGTGGTCAGTGCCCTCACACAGGACGCCCTCGGGCTAGGCGCGCCGCGCCGCGAGGGCGCTGCCGCGGCGGCCGCGGAGCGCCGCAAGCGAGCGCGCTACCCTCCTGGCGCGGTGGTGGTCCCGTTCGTCATCGAGGACCACGGCCGCCTGGGGGAAGGCGCGGTGGCGCTGCTCCGGCGGCTGGCACCGACGGAGGCGACAGAGCGCTCGGCCGCGATCCGGCGCCTCCACCAGGCCTTGGGGAGCGTGCTGCAGCGGCACGCCGCCGACGCCGTGCTGGCGGCCACCCAGCACAGGCCTTGGCGCGAGGCCGGACGGTGCTGAAGGCCTGAGCGCCCGGTGGTGCACAAGGAGGCGGCGGCGGCGGCGGCGGCTCTGGGCGGAGCTAGCGACCCCGGACGCGGCGGCAGCGGCGGCGGGCGCGGCGCGCTGGGCGGCAGGGCGGGGCCGGCGCTCCGGCAGGCGCGCGGCGGCTCGGCGGCGGCGTCGGCCCGCGGGCGGCGGCACCGGCTGCACTGGCGGCGACCGTGCGGCCGCGCGGCCGCGACGGCGCTGGCGTCGACAGGCGGCGCTCTAGCCGCGGCACTCTACGGCGGCGGCGCGCCCGGCGACGTGCGGCGCCGGCGGCGGGCGGCAGCTGCGGCGGCTCGCGGCGGCGCGCGGCGGGGCGCGGCGGCCGCGCGTGCCGCGCTCGCCGAAAGGCCCCGGGGCTCCCCGCGGACTCGGGAGCCCCGGGGCCACCGCCGGAGGAGGGGGAGGAGAAGGAGGAGGAGGAGGAGGAGGAGGAGGAGGAGGAGGAGGAGGAGGAGGAGGAGGAGGAGGAGGAGGAGAGGTGGAGGAGGAGGAGGAGGAGGAGGAGGAGGAGGAGGAGGAGGAGGAGGAGGAGGAGGAGGAGGAGGAGGGGGAGGAGGAGGAGGAGATGGAGGAGGAGGAGGAGGAGGTGGAGGAGGACGAGCGAGGAGGAGGACGGGTCGCCTGAGCCCTTCGGAGAAGCCCTCCGCCCCCGCCCCCGTCGCGTCCACGTCTCCGCGAGCCCGCAGGGCCAGGGACCCAGCCCCCCTCGGGTCAGACTTAGGTCGGGCATGTCACCCTACAGGCGGACTTTGGAGGAAAAATGAAAAATAGTCAAAAAGTATTCGAATCTTGCCCAAAATTGTAGAACATCGTCCCTGAACCATGTTTTGACTATTTTGGAATACTCCTCCTGTAGAGGGACACGCCCGACTCAAACCCAGACCCCTCTCGGGCAAACGGAGACTGCAATCTTGTTAGCAGTTATGCCCACGTGACGCGCAGCGTGTGAGACAGAAGTGCGCGAGACAGAGACCTGTCCGCCTACCGCCGCGCTGGTCTGGTCAGTCGCCCCTGGGTGTGCACGCAGGGCAGAGGAAGGCAAGTCGGTGCCCCTGGGTCATGGCTCAGATCGCGACGGGAGACTTTTCTTGGCGGCACGCACGAGGGGGTGGAGGGAGGGGGGAGGGCTTCTTAGAAGGAGGCTGCTTCTTAGAAGGCCCCGGCCTTACATCTGTAGATAAGGCCCGCGCCTTCGAAAAAGCGGGGGTGCTTCTAAGAAGCCCTCCCCCCTCCCCCCACCCCACTCTGCGCGTGGCCGAGTCACTGCACAGATCGCGATGGGAGACGTTTCGCAATTTTCGGCCTCCAGGGGCCCTTAACGGGGCCTCGGGGCCGTCAAGCAGCGACTCGGGATGAGACGCCGGTACCTGGTACTGGGTCGAGACCTCTGAGGGTCGAGGTTATGGAATCGGGGGTCTGGGGATCTGGTACTCGTCGGTCAGCAGCGAGGGCGGCGCTCGCCAACGCGATCGGAAGGCCGCCGGGCCACGCCGGGGCAGGGGCACTGCGGACAACTAGGAAAGAAGGAGAGCGGCCGCAGAGGAGGAACGCGGGGGGGCGGGGGCCTCAGGGTCAGAGAAACTTGGCCACGAGGATTGCGCAGGCGGCCTCAGGAGGCGAAGAACGGCGTACTCTGGAAGGTGGGCGGTGGGCGTCCAGTGCGCAAGGACACCTGTGGACCCGCATCAGAGGTCACTGCGGCTAAGGGTGGCTCTTAATCGTAGCTGGATGGACGGCGCTTGGAACGGCGCGGCCCAAGACCTGGCAGACTGCCCGTCCGTTGGCGAGGGGGCACGGGTGTCCTGGCAGCTACACGTCCACTAGTCACGGGAGATGCGCCATCGCTGTGGACGGCCTCCTCAGGCACGAGTCATTGCCAACAACAATGGATCGATCTGAACATGGACCCCTCACCCGCTCGAGGATATCTTTGAACTTAGAGGGTTCAATCGTGAGGAGGCAGGTGCGTTTGCCATTTGAAGATGCCTCGCGGCGGTGGTCCAGCATGAAGTCTGAATGGTTGCGCGCGCCCCAGGGGCCCCTCAAATACTATCCCTTGTGCCCTTCCTCACGCTCAACATGTTAACTACAAAGGCCTCGCACTCATCTTTTAGCGACATCAGGGCAGCGGCAATTACTTCATCCGCGCATCAGACTTACTTCACGGGGGAGTGGAAGGCGACGCTGTCCAGACTTGAGTCGGATAGCGTTGAGCATGGGACTTGGCAGAAAACCCGTCGCAATGCGTTATAGCTGCTACCACCGGCTCCTAGCTCTCAGCTGCCTCCTACGGAGCTGCCTGGGGGCACGCGCACCTGAGCTAACTCACGACCATTTCAGCGCCCCCCAAAGACCTGCATCGCCCCTGCTCGAAACTCGCAGAGACAGGAGACACAGAGCATTCCACATCCATCCTACGTGCGTAACGCCGTGCATAACTGGTACTTGCCTCCCCGCCGCGCTCACTACCCGGCAGCTGCCTCGAAACAAACCCCACAGCTACCTCGAAGCAGCCTCAGAGCAAGCCCCATGACTACCCCGCAGCTGCCCTGCGGCTGCCTCATTGCCTCATCCGTGTAGCTGCCACGGCTGCCTCGGAACAGGCCTGGAGCTGCCCCAGCGCGACCCTCCCTGGATCGAGACTCCTGGGGCCCTCGCGGGGGGGGGGCAGCCCCTTGAAGCCCTCACTCACTCACTCACTCACTCATGGCGGTTGAAGGGTACTCCCGAGGCCATGCGCACCTTTCCTGCCCCTTCCCCCGCAGTTGGGGGGGGGGGGCACATCGGGGAACAGGCGAGACAAAGGGTCGAGCAGCAGGACGAGCACAAAGGGGAGGAGGCAGAGGAGTCGAACCCCTCGCCCCCTCCCCCCCCCCTCTGGGGCCTCTCGCGAGCTCCCCCCCAAACGCTGCAGCTGCGCTGGAGGGCCCGAGCTCCCTCGCCCCGCTGCCCCCGAGGTCGCCGCGAGCCCCCCCCCCCCCCCTCCGCGGGGCCCCCTCCCCGAGAAGTCGGGCGGCGAGGCGACGCGGCGAGCGCCCAGGCAAAGAAGGCCCCTGCACGGGCAGGCCTCGAGGCTCGCCCGCCCCTCTCGGGGCATGTTCTTCCCTCCAGCTCGAGGGGGTCCAATTTCAAGCGACGCGCTGACCGCTAACTGTGCGACACCGGGGCGCCGCGACAACTCAAAGCTCCGCCCGGAGGTTGAATCCAGAGGAGACTTAAACCTACGACGCCGAGCGAGGTCCTCGAAAGGCTGCAATTGCCGCGCTACCCCAAGCCACCGTGCGCCCGACGTGGGGATGTTGACAAAACAGGGGATGCGGACAAATACGCGTGGATGCGGAACAAAAAACACGCACATCCCTTTGTCCAGCTCACGTGGATGCGGGCACACGCGCACGGGGTGCTTTTGTCAGCATCCCCTTGTCCGATTTGAGTGTTTTCAACACATCCCATTGTCCACCTCGACGTGAATGAATTTCCGCATCCCCTTGACTTCCGCGGTGCCCCCCCTGGGCCCCTCTTCCGCTCGATGATCATCATGGCGCTTGTTAGCGCCAACGTGCGCTTGCCCACCCAAGCATTCAACACGACGCAGGCTGCGCAGTGAGGACCGACGTAATCTGCGTGCTGTCGGCGGAGTTGACGGCAGAAGATCACACATGTGTGCAACACATGTCCTGAGGATCGTCGATCCGCGGTGCCCCCCCTCGCGAAAAGCGTGGCGACGAGGCGACGAGGACAAACGCTTGCACAACCCGCCCTAAGCACCGCTTCCTCACCGTGAGCCCCCCCCCACTTCCGCAGTGCGCCTCCAGGAGGAGAGGAGGAGTAGGAGGAGGAGGCGGAGGAGGAGGAGGAGGAGCACTGTAAACCCAAGGTGCATCAATGATGTTGCAAAACGCCCTCCCTTCAATCTCCCTCTTCATAGGTTTCTGAAAGAATTTGTTGACATTGCGGGAAATGGCTCAATAGAAGACCACCGCCAAAGAATCTTCAACCGTGCCAAAACCCAGATCCTGCGACTTCAACGTCACGGATCAACACTTGTGTTGTTCGGACAGCTTTAACTTGAATTAAACTGTTACTCCTGCGACTTGAACGCTGCGAATCAGTTTAACTGTTGCGCTTTCACAATACTAAATCGCGCTAGAACAC